CTTCTTCTTTTTTCTTCTTTTTATTATCACGTATTATCATGTAATCACAGTGAAGAAACACCTGTTGTATATAGCTCTTTAAAGAACCATTTAAAATTGTTCTATATAGCACCAAAAAGGGTTCTGTGATTGTTAGAATTTTTATTTGGTGATACATAGAACAGTTTTATTAACTGTGTACTCCATAAGGCTCTGAAATGTGTCAACAGCTCAGACTTTATTCATATGAATAAAGGGGGGCTGGAAGGATGACACAGCTCAAGCAAAGATTAACAGTTACTGGACATTAATGTGATCATTTGACAATCGCACATTCTGTCTGAACTAATAAAACAACAGACAGTTATTACTGCTCGGGCTGGTGGACCAGTTCCAAAGACCATATGCTCAGCATATTGTCCGCATGCACACTACAGCCATCCTAATAGATGCATAATGTAACCCTGACATGTCTCTCTCTCTCTCTCTCTCTCTCTCTCTCTCTCTCTCTCTCCCTCTCTCTCTCTCTCCCTCTGTGGGTCATGGGGCTGTGTAGATTCTCAGGTCTGTATCTGGCTGGCCTTACTGATAATTGGGATTCCTGATATCTGTTGGAAGTTCCTGTGTCGGAAGCATGAAATTCTAAACAGCAGCTGTGTAACCCTGAGCCACTAATTCAACATCTCTCTCTCTCTCTCTCTCTCTCTCTCTCTTTCTCTCTCTCTGTCTGTTTGGAACTCATTAAGGCATTAAGGTTAGGGTTAGGTTTAAGGTTTTAAGGACATATAGGTTATTATATATATATAATTTGTTAGGGATGCACTGATATGAGAATTGTGGGCTGATGCTGATATTTTTCACAGATATATGTGCTGATAACTGCCGATACATTGACATTTTTATATTGTAGACATTGGGAAACACCTACATGGATTTGCATTAAAGCGTAATATAACACTTATTTGTAAGTTGAGTCTTACAAATGCAGTAAAATGAACAAAATGCAGATATTTTAGTACAGTAGCCTAGTGTTTTCTAAACGTTCTGCAATAAATGCATTATCAAATGTTGTTTTGAAATATTGGCCCGAATGATTCAGAAATGATTGTGCATCCCTTTAATATTTAGGTGTTATATACACTGTCACTCAAATGTTTTAAATCACTGAATTTCATTAATATAAATGTGTGTTGCAGGTCATGTGTAAAATTCTGTTAAGAAATACTAGTCTCTACAACTTCAATAGTTCTAGGAAGCTTGTAATTTGTAGAGAAAATAGAAGTAGAAAAAGAAATTTTAGACATGATTGATGAAGAGAGAGGTAGATGATTCCATAATAAACAAGATGTAAAAAAAATCAAGAATGAAGTTATAATAAAAGTAACATCCAGAATGCCTTGTGATTGAAAAGTGGTAGTCAAATCTGGAGGCAAGTAACGTATCACAGAATTACTGTGAATAGATAATTACAATATGTTATTTATTAATACCACTTTTGCTGTTCCCAAAAAACATTAAATATGAAAGGGCCCATGTCCTACATTTTCTTGTAATTATTTTTTGATGAGGTCCTCTTATAACATTTGTGTGTTTTTATGTACCATATAATGCTGCAATTCAAGACTGATATAAGATAAATCAACTCTACAAGACTGGCTGTCTTGTATTGCACCTCATTTAAAAAGCACTCAAAACACGCCCTAGAACTTCAATATGAATTGGCGGGGCTAAACTACTGTAGACAGAATGAGTGGACCAATGTAAATGAGTCAGTTCTCGAGACATTACTATATACACATCATCTAAATTGCTTATCCTTCTGGGTCGCGGTGGGGTGCTGGAGCCTATCCCAGCTGTCATTGGGCAGAAGGCAGGATACACCCTGAACAGGTCGCCAGTCCATCGCAGGGCAGACGGACAGACATACACATTCACACACACACTCACACCTAGGGGCAATTTTACCATGTCCAATTGGCCTGACTGCATGTTTTTGGACTGTGGGAGGAAACCGGAGTACCCGGAGGAAACCCACACAGACACGGGGAGAACATGCAAACTCCACACAGAAACGACAGCTGGGAATTGAACCCAGGCCATTCTCGCTGTGAGGCAACAGCGCTACCCACTGCGCCACCGTGCTGCCCTCGAGACATTACTGAAACAGTGAATTCAAAAAATTCTGTTTTTGCAGCTTGGTTCCCATATGTGGACTGGTAGTGAATAGTATGTGTTGAAACTGACAGTGTTCATATATTATTTCCATCTCCTTTTTTTAAAAAAAAAAGTAAAGAAAATATTAGTAGTTTTCCATGATATGAGCTCTTTAAATAAAGCATCCTAAAATACATTCTGGTGCCTGGCTTATAGTATTTAATTCTGCAACCATATAAGTTATTATAGAATAAAATAACAGTTGTTAACATGATCCCATGTCCTGAAGCTGTATTAAAACAAACCTACATGTATGTATTCTATCATAATTCCTGTCTTTGGTGCATCAGATCTTGTAAAACTGCTCCATGCCTACAACTGAAGGAGGTCAAGGTAAACAAACACACACGTGATGGCTGAGCTGGGAATAGCTGCAGGCTTTGGCAAGCGAGCAGCATCTCTGGTTTTATAGGCCGTGCCCCTCCACTCTAAACATGGGCCCGGTGTGAGTGTGTGCTGTGTGTGTGAGTGTGTTTGTTTGCTCCTCTCTCTCTCTTCTCATGTGTGTGAATGAACTCCTCTGCTACTGTGCAAAGCAGATATATACACTCTCACGGGGCTGTGACCCGGAATCATCTCATTCCGTTTGTTTATTTTTCATTAGTCCTTTTTGCACCCCTCCCCTCCACTGCTGTCCTCCCTCAGGGTGTAGACTTACTCGTCCACCATCTGTCCTGTAGAAAGTGACTGGGGACAGCAGCACAGCGCTGTGTGTTTGGGTGCAGCAGAGTTTCTTGGTGTGTGTGTGTATGTGTGTGTGTGTATGTGTGTGTGTGCATGTGTGTGTGCATGCATGTGTGTTTGGGTACAGTGAAGGTGGAAATCAGCACATTCTTGAAGTTTACAGGAGTGAGTCTTTGATGGTGCCTCTGACCTCTGGTGTACTTACCTCTCTTTGACCCCCCTCTTTTGTTCCCAGTGGGACCCTGAGGCTGATAGGCATCAGCAGATGTTCTTCTGTTCATGTTGGCACCAGTGTAACTGATCTGATCCCATAGCATGGAGTTCATGTGCTTTCAGAATCATTTGTGATAATGTGTGTTGTTGTATTTGGAACAGCAGCGTGTGTGTAAAGCGGCTTGTTTGCGCAGGGTGATTGTGTAATGGTTGGAAGATGTTGTGAGATTCAAGTCATATCAAAAGCTTGTAACTCAGATTTGATCATTTTACAATATCTGCAATTGTCAGCTGCCTTTTTCGTGAACACTTCATGATGAATGGACCAATCAAATGTCCTAAGATACTAGACTTTATTCCTAGTTGGAATAGAATCTAGTACCGTAGTGCTTACATACGTACATTAAAGACACATTTTTTTCTTTCTCATGTAAAATGATCATCTCTTACATACAAGGTATTGTTATGACAGTAATGATTTATATCTGTAATTCTGTATGTTCATCTTGTTATGTATAATGACCTATACATGTTTACTAGCTCTGTACACTTATGTCCAAAGTTTTAAAATGAAGATTATGGTATAATCAGTCAATACTGATGCACTAATATATAGGAGTGTAACAATGCATCATGACATTGTGATATTGTCACACAAAATGATGACAGTGTACATGGTGGAGATGTGAAAATGCATAGTCAACAATGTACATTTTATTATGCCATCTAATGAGAGAGCAGGACATGTTTCTTAGGGGGCAAGTTAACACATTTGATTGACAAGCAGGCAAACACAAGACAGCGGTTTGAGAGAACATGAAAGATGAGAGATAAACCTTCTGAAACTGACATATGTAATAACAGGTAGAAAATATAGATCATATTTCTGTAAACATTTTTCTTTTGGAGAAGGCAGTGACCTCCAACTCCTTGACCCTGAACAATGTTAGCAACTACTGATGCATGAACACACATACACACACACACACAGAGAATGAGATGCCTCCTGGCTGTGCAGGCCATAGTCGTTTTTTGAAACATGATCCACCATTCAACAAGGTCCTCCCAAAACACAACTAAAGTACCATAAATAAATACTGGTGATATTTTTCTTAAGTGTTTAGCCCTACACTGGAACTGTACTGCTTTCTCTTTCTCTCTCCCTCTTTCTCTCTATCAATCCACCTATGTATCCTTTTGTTTTTTTCTTTCTTATTCTTATTCTTATTTATTTCTGATTCTAGTTTTCTGTTCTGTTCTATTCTGCTTTAGTAAATTTTAACACTGATATTTCTAAAACAGCACAGGCCTCAGTAGAATTAATGAAGATTAGCCTTCAGTTACTGTGATGATGTATTAGCCTGTATTGTGTTCCAAGACGCAGTGTGAGTTGTTTTAAAGGAATGTTTCACCAAAAAAAGTCAAATGCACAAAATCTTCCCTTGCCCGAAAGGAGTTGATCAATCAAGAGTCCCCAGTGTGTTTCTGTAATTTTGCAGTGAAGCTATGAGGCTGATGTAATGGAAGTCTACACAGAAAGACATTATGTTTAACTAGCCTACATAAACCCTATAATTCTAGTGCAAAACTAAAAAGCAAACTTTGGACACCAAACATGTCCTGGCTGATCGACTACATTTGGCATAAGAGGAAAATTGTGTAACTGATTTTACTGATGAAGCATTCCTTTACGGCCTATTCCGAACATACAGCAGTGATTCATTAGGCTGTGGCAAAATACGCCCTCCACTTCACATCAGTCCATTACCATTCGGCAAATGGGGTAATGAGCCTATCCCAGCTGAGTCACGCCTTCTCAGTTCTGCATTTCTGCAATGAGGTCCCGCTGCTGGCGCCATGACTCCCCCCACCTCACCTAACCCCCCTCCCCCCGCACTGCTACAGTTGGGACGAACGGCATGACAAGCAGCCGTGGACGCTACCAAATTTCTGGGGGGTGCAGAGTACTGACTCACTTTTAGTGTCTCCAGCGCTCAACGCTCATCTTCAACACAGTACGGTTCTCCGAACGCCTTCGGCCACAGCGCGGTCTGAGGTCCCGTCCTGGGACTCACTTCGACATCCGCGCCGCCCCTCTCTGCGCGGTTGGGTCAGTCCACCCACCACTTCCACATGTTAGCTTGAGTTGTTAGCCCTCCGGAGCTGCTGCAGTTCTCCACAGAGCCGATGCTGGAGGAAGACCCAAACGGAATTACTGCGTTCTTGTTGGATTAAATTCTCCGGTCGGAATCAGCTGACCTGTCATCGAAAGGGTGAGTTGAGCGCTCGTGCGTGTATTTCAGCGTTTATCATCTCCTCTTCGACTCTCCTCGGCTGCAGTCTGTGAGGTAGAGGGGGAGAGGGGGGCTGCCCTCAGCACTTCAGAGCCCCAACATTCAACGTGGCAGCGTGGAGACTCGCGCTAAACTCAGGTCTCCGGCTGTAGCAGTGAGAGCTCTGCAGCGTCGCTTTAACCCAGTCAGGCTGATGTCAGCGGTCCGCTGCGTTTGGAGACGGCGCTCCTCACCGCGGCTTCTCCAGGAGAACGTCATCAAACTAAATAGTTGAAGCCTGTTTTCTTTTCGTTTTTCTCAGCCGAAAGTTGGGTGGTTTCTTCAGGAATGCCTGAAGAAACCAGTCTGCCCGCTTTTGGAAAGGCGAGACGGAGCGGTCTGTTCTGAGGGGCTCTCAGCTCCGCAGAGCTGCGCACTTCTGTTTCCACTTTAAGACTTTAGGAGGACGAAAACACAGTTTATTAAAATCAGAAGGATAGTGGGACAAACCTTTCACTCGCTCTCGCAACACACGGTTATTTTTGCACACATTGGAAATACGCACATTCCCATACAGTTATCAGCATCGATATAACTGCTAAAGCCCTTTTCGCAGTGTAATATCAGGCACTCTGTGTTTCTGTAGAACAGATGTGTGTGTTAGTGTTCGTATGTGTTAGTGATTAGGAGTCAGTGCGTGGTGAAATGGGGACTATAGAGGTGTAAAGCAACAAACTATTAATCTTATAACGTTAACTTATGGGGCAGGGAATGTTAAATGGGTCATATTAAACTATGGGAATAGGAAATGTTCACCTGTAGGACTGGGTAATGTTAAACTAGTCTGTGGGACAGAAAACCTATTTAAGTGGGTAACGTTAATGTTAACTGGGCATTATTAAACTACATAAATAGACAAGGTCGGAGTCCCAGAATGAGTCATGTTAGGTGATGCTATAGGAGAACATTTAACTTCTCATTCTGGATTCCTAAGTTTCCTAATATAAAGTTCTCCCCTCCTCTCTTTCCCCCTCAATCCTTGTCTCTCTCTGTCTCTCTCCGTCTCTCCCTCTTTCCCTCTCTCTCTGTGTCTCTCCTTCTCTCTGTCACTCTCTCTCTGTCTCTCTGGGTCCAGGCTCTGTCTCTGTGGCCAAATGGCTCCAGGACTGAAGAATGTTCACTATTTCCTCTCTGTAATAGTAGCACACAGCTCACCACCACTCTCAACGAGCAGCTGCTCTGGACTGTTTAGAGGCCTATGGCTGCTCTTCTAAGATTTTATTCTTGTTTGTCACTTTAAAACCTCACTATTTACACTGCTAGACCTTTAAGAGTTAGCCTTTAAAGCTTTTTAAGACATCTTTTTTGGTTGTCTGTTAACTACTGAAACTACTATACTGAAATCAAGAGATCTGTTCACAGGAGGGCTCTTAATTTATTAGATGTAAACATTCAGGTTCTCATCACATCAACATCCTGGGTTCAGGATGGTGTATGTGTTTTTTTTTTTCCACGGAAGCAGTGGCTTTGTCCTTTGTTGAACTCTGAACTCTGGATTTATTTTTGTGGATTGAAAGTCTTGTTTTCTCAACATTCTCAACTCGGGATAATGTTGCAAATCCTGGATTAAACTTTACAGCCCAGGTTTAAACTGTGGTGTAAATATTCTGAATTAGTTCTTGGTGATAAGAGTAATCCTTAGTTGATGGACTTTGTGCTTATTTTGATTTCATGTACTAGTTGAGTTTCTTTTGCATTAAGTTCCCATTTAGCACCAGAACATCATGAGGGTCAGTGGCCCACTTTCTACCTTGAATCCTAATTATTCGCTTATTAATCAAGTCTTATTATACTGTAACCACTATGATTTGTAAATAATGCATCTTGAGATTGTGTCTTTGTATCAGTTATGCCAGTGCAGATGCACTATTTGTACATCAAAGTCAGCCCCAGTCAACACCTAACTCAAGCACTTCTCCTGCCTCTCAGCTCTAGTGCCATAGTTAAGTTGAGCAACAACGTAATTGTAGTCATTATTTTTCTTCTTTTGAATTTAGCTCAGAATACCAAATCATGAACCCAGTCTCAGGAACTGAACTGAAATGTAGGCTGAGGATATCGTTTTACGATATTGTGAAAGTCAGAATTGAAATGTGGACCATATACAGACCTTTATTGTTTATGGAATTAAGCTTAGTCCAGAGCTAAGAATTATTTTGCAGTAAAATACAACAACACTCAGGATTACTTTTAATCTGTACTCTGAATATAGCGGTTAGAGCCAGCCTTACCCTTAGTACATCATACTTTCATCAGTTCTGTAGTTTCCTCTCGTTCTCTGCTTCTCTCTAACTTTACTACATGTAAGTTTTTAGGAAACAGTGGAGGGGCAGCATGTCTTTTTTAGTTACATGTCACATGAACCATACATGCAATATGCCAGGAAAGAAGTAACATCACTTTTTTTGACAGTGCTTTGGCCTTCATGTTACAATATATAGTGCTCAGTTGACTACCTGAATATAATCTGTGTGTGTGTATGTGTGTGGTTTCTCATGTGGGTTTGGTCTCATTTTTTGCCTCAAGTAAAGCTAGAGTAGCAGATCAGTTCTACTTTGCGATTGGATCAGCAATGTTGGATTGCCCTCCAATGTATGTGTGTACTCTGATATGCACCTGTATAAGAGACTCCCCAGGAAACAGGTCAATTCCCGACCCTCCTCCTGCTTCCCTCTTTTTTTCCCCTTCCTTTCTTTTTTTCAGCCTCAGGATGTTTTTCTTTGCTGAGCTGTTCTTCTTTTGTGTGAGGAGCCTGCATGTGTGCATGTGTGTGTATGTGTGTGTGTATATGTGTGTGTGTGTGTGTGTGTGTATGTGTGTGTTTGATCATTATGTCTCACCTGACGAGGCAGCTTAGAGCCACTGGTGTTTAAAAGAAAACACATGCGGATTGGACCAATCAGCTGGCTTGTCTGGGGTGATGGGTGGATTTACCCCGACGTGGGCTGTGTTTAGCGCGAATGAAGCGTAGCAAAACTGCTTTGTGAAGGCTGTCGTTGAGAACATCAGACTCTGCTGCGGCATTGATGCTGGCTGGTTTCATTGCCTGCAGTTTTGATTAAAATGAATCCTAATGCAAAAACAGTCAATTTACGTGTTACACATGTAGCAAGTTGTGTAACACAAACTTTTAGAATGACACTTAATGAATCTTGATTGAAGAATGTTTAATGAGACTGATGCAAAGTGACATTTATTATCTACAATTCTGGCAAACATTAAGCAACCTGAATTGTATGCACATGCAAACTCTTCTCATTTGTTACAGCTTTATAACTTGTAACATCTTGTGAAGGCTCACTGTGGTCCCTGAGCTGACAGTGTCATTTTTTAATGCAACTGCTGGTGTGACACAGGATACATTTAGCAGTCTTAGAAGTGAAATAGTGCCAAACACATGCCTGTTAAAAGGAATCAACATGTTATTGCTACATTAGGTTGTTTAACCACTTAAACTGCTAGTTTATTACTATTTAGTAACTACTATGAATGATTTGGGAACTACTGTGATGTGTGTGAATGTGTAAGCTATGTAGTTTTGAGGAGAAAAAGGTATTGAAGGGTTTAAGGGCTTAAAGAAGCACATTTGGAGCCTGTATTTTAGGGATCAATTTTGTATTGTATAGAAGAATTAAGCAGTGTAAAACAGTAAGCTGTGTGCTGGCTTGTCCCTCCAGAACTAGAACTGGTTAATTCTGGTTGGATGATTTAGTGAATGGTGCATTAGGAGCTGTGGTTATCACAATCGTATGGACCGTTGCAACTCAGCTCGTTTGTTCGAGGTAACATATTGCCACCAAGCTCTGTTTTCTCCTTGCAGAAATATCCTAGCCTGGTGCCAGACGCTTGGCAGTGCACGTCTGTGTTTCAGTCTGGAACTGTTCAGAGTGCCTGGATACTTTTAGCAGTCTTAGCAGTAAATTCACCGCCATTGAATTAACTCTTACAGTGCTCACTGGGAACAATAATTAAAAACAGTAATAATTCAGTCTTGGTGGCCTCACAGTGTGATTGGTCAGGGGCACTGAGTGTTGTTAATAGATACAGAGATGTACTTTACTAATCCCAAGGGGAAATTTGGGAATTTTGCAACCATTGAAGAAAAACACAGAACAATAAATACACCTTATAAATGGCCACAACCACACACATCTACACATAGTGAAATTCTGTCTGTAGGTTTAAGACCGGTGGGGTTTAAGACTGTTGTTGTAGTTTGTTTTGTTTTGTTGCATTCATTATTACTAATTGTGATGGCATGTCTGAACCACAGGCCAAACAGGAAGCCTTAAAATTTTTCAACAAAAAAAGGAAGACCTGGGTGTTCCTGATGTCCAGTTAGCCTGCTGCGGTGATAAAGAAACAACTTGGAGATTTCAGGTTGGATAATGACTAGAAAGAAAGCAAAGAGCATACATTAATGACAGAGCTGGGGCTTTAACTGAAGATAACTGACTAGCAAAACTTGCTTCAAGAAAAAGGTGCTTTGAATTTATGATTCAAATGAGTCAAATACTTGCAAATGAGTAAAATGTTTTACATGAACACAATTATTACCAAAACAGGTTCATTTAAAGAAAGCAGTTGTGTTGACTAACGTTTTATTTGTGCACAACCATTTGACACAAATCCCGATTAATTTTTGCAGTGTAGCACAGAGAGAGTTTTAGTTAGATACTTTAAAGCACATGTGTAGTGTATAATACGACTGCTACAGGAGTCGTGTTCAAGCATGAAGGACTCTTCTTTGGCAGTAAAGCTATAGATATACACTGTAAAAATGTCTCATCAGTTCAATCTAAAGAAATTACTTGATGTAGTAACAAGTAATTGAACTAGTTTTATTCAACTCAGAAAATTAGTTTAGTTGAAAAAAGGTAGTTTATTTACTTGTTACCACATGAAGTATTTTTTTAGGTTAAACGCATGAGCCATTATTT